CAGGGCTCCTGGGTGGCTCAGTCTTAAGCATCTACCTTCGGCTCAGGTCATGATCCCAGGGTCCTGGGATCAAGCCCCGCATCAGGGTCCCTGCTCCGCGGAAAGCCTGCTTCTCCCTCTCCCACTCCCACTGCTTGTGTTCCCTCTCTCGCTGTGTCTCTCTCTAAGCTTGCTTCTCCCTCTCCCACTCCCCCTGCTTGTGTTCCCTCTCTCACTGTGTCTCTCTCTGTCAAATAAATAAAATAAAATCTTTAAAAAAAAAAAAAAAAAGAAAGGCTTAGATAACCTATGATAAATTTTATTTGACAGAATACTTGCATAAACAGGGCTTTGCATGTGCAGAAAACAAAACAAACAATTGACATTTATTTAAAAGGGGAGAGTGATAAGTGAATTCTGAGGATAAGAAAACTGGAAACCCAAGCTTCATGAGGGCAGGTACCACGTCTGTTCACCATTGCCTACTCAGTGCTTGCCGCTGTCCCTGGTAGGTGGTAGGCTGTCAGTTAATATATGTAATATTAAATAAACAAATATGTATTTGTTGAACAAACTGAAGAGTGCCTTGAAGGAGATAATATTTGGGCAGAGATGAGGTGGAAAGGCTTGAGAAAATAGTAGGAGGTAGAAGTGATGACTAAATACATCAGAATACCAGTGTGACTGGAGCTGTGAGAATGAGCACAAAGCTCTGGGAAATAAGGCTGCTAATGGTAACTTGGAGCCAAATTATAAGCAACTTTGATTGTTGGACTTAAGAATTTGGGATTTGTTTTTTAAACAAAGTAGAATTTCTCTGAATAGATAGTAGCATTGTCAAAAAGCAGTGTTTTAGGAATAGTCTGAAAACACAGTGGAGGTTGCTGTGAGGAAGAGCCTGGAGACCAACTTTGAGACCATTTGTGATGTTGGATAGGAATTCTTGGGACACTAGTTAATGTCCTATAAAATTATTAATATTTCCTTCTATGTAATGTATTACATAAAGATGCTTTTTAAGCCCTAGTGTTTGAACATAATGACATGGCTGTCTTTTTCAGTATTTATTTAATTTTCCATGGTATTTTGTTTAATCTCATGGCTTTTCTATGAGATCATGGTATAAATTTTGAATGCATTTGTTCTTCCCTTATTTGCTTTTTGTTAATGTCAAGCATAGCACATGAGCCATTTCTTGTTGCTATGCAACTGTTAAATTCAATATTTAATATTCATAAAACTGAGTAGCATTAAATTCATTTAATAGAGGGTAGCAAAATACGGCTTTACAGTTTCTAATTGATAATATTGTGAGGTTTAACGTATGTTACAGATATGAGCAAAATAGGGGTGACCTGTTTACAGTTGCTTTTTTGATCAGAATTAATTATGCTTAAAGCACCAGTCTTTTTCTTGTTTGATTCCTTTTGGTCTTTTCCCTTTCATGGCTTTTTGCTATGTGATTCAGTTTTTGCTGGTGTCTGTGTGTTATTGATGAAGTTTTTATTTTATTTCAGATTCTGTTATCTTTTATAATGTTTATAATTTTCTTTTTCAAAGCTTTTATTTGCTTTTTTTTTGTTCTGAGTATTATTTCTTGCTGTATTTACATTTTTCCTTTTCAAGGATTTATACTTAGTATACAAGTTTGGAATTTGTTATAATTTCATACAAATCCAAGTGAAAGCATATTAGATAACGCTCTTTGGGACAAGAGCCACCTGTAATCTCCTTTAGCTAATTGCAGTGCATACTTGGTACTTTCAAGATAATAAAATGCTTTCATTAATATTTGTAAAATAGGAGGGTTTTAGAGTTGGAGACAAGCTATGGGATTCGTTTAAGGGAAGAGAAAAAAAAACTAGTGTTGAGAATATCTAGTTTGTAGGCCCCAGATAGCTAGGATCTAGCAATTCCTTTTTCGTTCTCTTACCACCATCTCCTTAACCTCTAAACCCCAGTTGAACCCTTTCTCTTCCCCAGTGTAGGGAAGAGAGGCCATAGTAAATTAGTGGAAAATGTTCTAATTATAGTAGGCAAATAATAAACAGGCACAGATAACTCCAATTTGCTTGAATAGGTAGCTTGATTTTATTAATGTCCTTGGAATAATTTTGATGGGAAGAAATTAAAGAGAGTTGAAAAACAATTGCTCCTTCATAATAAATGAAAAATCTAGAATCTAGAAAACAGTGTAGAAAAATCAGCTGTTTAACTACAGTGTAGATAATACAAACTCTAGAGATTACTCTATTGAAAAAATGCCTTAATGCTGTGGACAAAAAAATCCCTTACACTGCATTATTATTCTTAAATTTCAATCTTTTTTATTTTTTATGATCTTATTTCTAAGTAATCTCTACACAGCATGGGCCTCAGTCCTATAACCCTGAGATCAAGAGTCTCATGCTCCACTGACTGAGCTTGCCAGGCATTCCTGTATTATTTAATGAGATAAAATACTGTCTCTCTCTCTCTCTCTTTTTTTTTAAGATTTTATTTATTTAATTTGACAGAGACACAGCGAGAGAGGGAACACAAGCAGTGGGAGTGGGAGAGGGAGAAGCAGGCTTCCCGCCGAGCAGGGAGCCCGATGCGGGGCTTGATCCCAGGACTCTGGGATCATGACCTGAGCCACCCAAGCACCCCTAAAATACTGTTTCTAAGGACCATCTTTTCTACCCCTTTATCTTTCAAACCCTTTATGGTGATTGTATTTGTGGTAAGGAAGTGCTGACTCTGTGTGTGGACCTCATGTATCCACCTGGGTATAGTATTTTAAATTATTGGGTCTCCCTCCCTTTTGAGCATAAGAGTACTTAATTTTTTTATTCTTTTAAGATTTTATTTAGTTATTTGTCAGAGAGCAAGCGGGCACAAACGGGGAGCGGCAGGCAAAGGGAGAAGCAGGCTCCACGCTGAGCAAGGAGCCCAATGCGAGACTCAATCCCAGGACCCTAGGATCATGTCCTGAGCCGAAGGCAGACGCTTAACCCATTGAGCCACCCAGGCGTCCTAAATTTTTTTTTTAATTTAAGTTTTACTCAGTTAACATAGAGTCCGATATTGGTTTCTGGAGTAAAATTCAGTGATTTATCACTTACATACAACACCCAGTGCTCATCACAAAATGTGCCCTCCTTAATACCCTTCACCCATCTATCCCATCCCCCCACCTGTATCCCTCCATCAATCCTCAGTTTGTTCTCTACCGTTAAGATTTTCTAACGGTTTATTTCCCTCTCTCTGTTTCCCTCCCTCCTTCCCATATGTGCATCTGTTTTCTTTCTTAAATTCCACATAGGAGGGCGCCTGGGTGGCTCAGTTGGTTAGGCGACTGCCTTTGGCTCAGGTCATGATCCCGGAGTCCCAGGATCGAGTCCCGCATATGGCTCCCGGCTCAGCGGGGAGCCTGCTTCTCCCTCTGACCCTATCCCCTCTCATGCTGTTTCTCTCTCTCTGTCAAATAAATAAAAATAAACAAAATCTTTAAAAAAAAAAAAATTCCACATAGGAGTGAGATCATATGGTATTTGTCTTTGACTGACTGACTTATTTCACTTAGTATAATAATATACTGTAGCTCCATCCACGCCCTTGCAAATGGCAAGATTTCATTCTTTTTGCTGGCTGAGTAATATTCCATTGTAACTATTTTTTTTTTTTTTAATTATAAACCTGTAAGTGATAGTAGACTGTGTGACAAAATACATAGTGCCCCAAAATACATTGTACATACCAGAAATTCAGTAACACTTTTTGTATTTTCTTAATTACGGTAACATTTTTATGCATTTGAAAGGTACTGTGTACACTGAATGCACAAAATATATTCTTTCTGAAGCTCATGTTTTTAAGTACATATGGATTCATGGACCCATTGTAACTGTTTGAGCTCCCAATGAGGTCCATAGTTTGGGAACCACTATTCTTAACCCATTATTTCTGTTATGTTATATAAAGGTACAATCTGATTCCTTTCTTCTTTTCCCCTCCTTTTTCTCTTAATGAACCATAAGAAACAGCAAGATGGCCAAGATTTTTAAATTGTTTTTCATTGAGTTGATCAGCAGTATTTGAGGTAATAAATCAGAAAAGTATTTTTTTAATACTGGTAAAAGGTGATAACATTTTAAATATTTATGTATAGGTATATTTGAATTTTCTGTGTGTATAATTAGTGAGTTCTACCTTCATAAAAGAACCAGCAAGTAGTTATTGTGGCAATGTGAAATAATTACAAAGGTGTTTTTCTTTTGAAATATTATGTTATGGCCTTTTTCTTTAGTGATAATGGTGTTCTCGGTGAGGATTTTCCTTCTTCAGAAACTTAGCTTGAGGGGCGGCTGGGTGGCTCAGACAGTTAAGCATCTGCCTTCAGCTCAGGTCATGATCCCAGGATCCTGGGATCGAGCCCCGCGTCGGGCTCCCTGCTGGGCGGGGAGCCTGCTTCTCCCTCTCCCTCTGCCTGCTGCTTCCCCTGCTTGTACTTCCCCTGCTTGTACACTCTCTCTCTGTCAAAAATAAAAATAAAATCTTTAAAAAAACAAAACAAAACAAAAACTTAGCTTGAGAAACCTATGATCTCAGTTGATATTCAGAAACATGCTATTTAGATTAATCTAGAATGCTGTGGAAATTTTGAAACAATTTGACCTTTTATTGGGAAAGGTGCCTTTGTAAAAATGGGATTTGGGCATTTATGTAAGGAGGTATTTGGGATTTTGTAAAATGATAAGAGAACCTGTGAGTTTCCATTCTTTCGTTGGTTATTTCTAGTGTTGTCTGTTTTGTATTGTTCTTGAATGTGCTCTGAATTTGTATTGAATGTTGATGATGGACAAAAATGCAAATGCTTCTTTTAAATTTGTCATTGACACTCTTTCCTCAGCATCCCTTCAATAATAACCCAGGGATCCTTGAGGACTGGAAGAATACACTATCGTTTTTTCAGCAACATATTGATATTACATTACCATAAGGAGTATTATTGTAATATGGATTTTTCTTCATCCTTTCAGGGTTTGAAAGTATTCTTGAAGGGCTGTTTGGACCTGCATTATTAAAAGATCTCAGTTTATTTAAAGGTATTCAAGTTTTTTTTTTTCTTTTGGTATTTCAAATTCTTCCTGGTGACATATGTGATATTTTTGTGATTTAAGCCTCCGTCTCCTTCTTTTTATTCAATTTTATGTGAGTTAAAGCTGTATCCCTGTAAGCATCTTTTTGTGTTTAGTTGATAATGCAAATATATGTATTAATAAGGTATATTAACTAGTGAGCAGTTATTAAGAATTTTAAGACAAATAAGAAATCTGTCTACCCCTTAGGGTTTTGTTTTTGTTAAAATAAATATTTTTGATCTCATTTGTTTCCTGAAAAATTCCTTTTCGTGACTGTTAATTTAGTATTCCAACTATTTTTGCAGACTGTGAACCTGAAAACATTTCTGATTGGACTTTTGATGAAAATTGTCTATTCTGTTGCTTGAGAAGAGATAAAGTAAAGGTAACCAAAAAACTTGTGGAACTTAACTAGCGTGGTATTTTATAGTTGTTATTTTTTCAAAATTTGATTACTTTGTTGGAGGATTTGTAGGAAAAGGAAGGCATGATTCCATATTTATTTATAAAAGATTTGATAGTAACTCAGTTTTGCTATTTAGACTGTTTCTAGTGTGTTGATTAGCCTATTGAGAAATCTGTATCCCAACATGCATTCCTTTATTTATACAGTTACTAGGCAGAATAATTAGCTAGATCTCAAACTGTTGGGTGTATTTTAAATATGAAATATATGATAATTCAAGCAATGGGAGTCATTTGTACAAAAAGCAGTAACATGGATCTGGATCAAGTAGTTACTAATTCATGAAGATTTATGACAAACTATGGTTTATGCTTTAGTATAAGATGTTTCTTCATACTATTTGAGCATGAATGCTGTTTATATTCAGTTGTAGAAATTGGCTGTACTTTTGGGTTTCTGTTTTTATTGCTTTGTGTTAAACATAAATGGAGTTTGGGTTTAGAAACATTAATTGTTGGAAATATTTATTAATAACGGTTTCCTGTCTTATGTTTCTTTTTATGGTACTTCTGTTCCCTGTTTTGTTTTATTTTTTTTTAAAGTAGGCTCCACGTCTAGCGTGGATCCCAGTGCAGGGCTTGAACTCATGACCCTGAGATCAAGACCTGAGCTAATATCAGGAGCGAGATGCTTAACCAACTGAGCCACCCAGGTGCCCCTGTTCCCTGTTTTAAAGCTTTGGAAACATTTTTAATTCCTTCCTCCCCGTTATACACTTCTAACAGGATCATTGGCCAGGTTCTATAAATTCTTCCCTCATACGGAGTTTCATTTTTTCTTTCCACAGTCATTACCATAGTTCATACCGTTAGCATTATTTCTGGACTACTGAAATAACATGATTGGTCTCTTTTAGTTTACTTCAGTCTTTTAAACACTGCTACAAGTTTAAACTCCTTCCCCCCAACCCTCGCCCCTCAAATAGTGTGAAAACGTCATTGCACACACACTCAGTTTCCAGCGACCTTTTTCATTGTATTCTGGATTTTTAGCCTAATGTTCTGTGCCTCAGTACTCTCCACAGGTCAGTCCACTTCTCTTTCTAATGCTGCCCTCTTTCTAATGTTGCTTCTATACAGTTTTTTTTTTTTTCAGCTGAACTAGTGCAATCATTTGTAGTAAACAACATGCTTTTACTACTTAGACTGTAGCATTGCATACCAATTGTTCTTTATAGCTTGAAATTCCCCTGCCTTACTCTTAGCTTAAGCTTCCACCCTCCTGTCAGTGTCAATTGTATTCAACCCTTCACACTGTTGTAGTATCTGTAACAATTATTTTTCAATTAATAGTCTGCCTTATTTTGTTCCTGTTTCTCGATGTTTATGTCTTATGTTCTTAACTACATTGTCAACCTCTGAAGGCTATGAACCATGTTGTGTATTCTTTGTTACCCCTCCTTGTAACCACTGTACCATTATTTACCATTGTTGGCAAGTTGCTTTAAAATCTGAAAGCCAATTTAAGAGCTTTTCAGTATTCTTTTATGGCTTCCTTTTGTTGCTTACTACATGAAAGTTGTTATTGTGACTATCGAGGATGGTCTGTTATCATTGAATTAATGTGGAGAGTGTTTTGAAATTTAATGTGGTTTGAGAAAGACCATAAATTAAGCAAGTGTCAGTGAAGTTGAAGTTGGTCATTTTAAACTGTGTGTGTGTGCATGCATATGCATGCATGTTGTGACTATTGAGCAAGTCATTTAATTGGCATTTTGGTGGAATAGAAGGAGCAACTATTAATTACCTCTTTTAGGGTAGGATTGGGAGGAAAGCCCTTCTGTGTTCAGTAATTGAGTACAGTATATTCTTGTAGTATGATTGAGTTTTCCATTGCTATATGAGGGTAAAATATTGTATGAATATTTTTAGAAGACAGAAATAGCAAGGCATGGAACCATGTAGCATTTAAAACAGCTGTTATTGTTTTAGCTCCTCAATTTCTATTTGCTTTTCTAATTAGAAAGAATATTTCCATTTGACAATTTAGCTAGTTCTGGGAAAGCTGATATTTTCCACTAGACGCTTCACTATCTTTGGAATTTATTTTTTTCAGAGACAGCCGTAACATCTATTGCGGAAAATAGGAAAAAAGAGAGCTTATTAGAAGATGTAAATTGTCAAGTATGTCTCTCTGGTTGTGTTAGACTTAAAGTGGTTGAACTGAAACTTTTTGAAGGCACTTAGAGCATCTCATCTGAGAAGGACTAGAATGTGGAAGTAAATATATCCAGTGGGTTGAATTTTGTACTTTTTAAGGCTGGCTTATTAAGAGTCCAAAAAAGGAAGAAATCTCTGCAGGGTATGGTACTAGCCAGTAGGTGGCAGCATAGAGCATGATAGTGGAATCTTGAGTTTGAGGGTGGTGGCATGATGAGATATCCAGGTATTTGGAAAAGCTGTTAGAAATACTGGTCTGATGGTTGGGAAAGAAATGGAGGTTATGCATATTTTTTCATTTTGGACTTTCAGTAGATACCGAAGCTGTTAAAGTAAATGCATACTGTTTGCTTATATTTACTTTATAAAATATGTAGGTAAAAAATACAAAGTCGTCTCTTTGGAAAATAGAACAGGCATTCACCTAGAGATTAGTAAAACAATTGTTGGTCTACCCTTCAAGATTCTATAGTGGTTAGAAAGCATAAATTTTTTTTTTTTAAGATTTTATTTATTTATTTGACAGAGCGAGAGAGAGAGAGAGACACAGCGAGAGAGGGAACACAAGCAGGGGGAGTGGGAGAGGGAGAAGCAGGCTTCCTGCTGAGCAGGGAGTCCGATGCGGGGCTCGATCCCAGGACCCTGGGCTCATAACCTGAGCCGAAGGCAGACGCTTAGCAACTGAGCCACCCACGTGCCCCAGAAAACACAATTTTTAAGGGATAGGAAAGTAACATTTTTTTGAACATGTACTATGTGCCGGTTACTTTTATTTGTTCCCATTTAAATCCTCACAACAGTTGTATAAAGTTGGTTAAAGGCATATACCAGTTTTATTTTATTTTTTATTTTTTTAAAGATTTTATTTATTTATTTGACAGACAGCGAGAGAGGGAACACAAGCTGGGGGAGTGGGAGAGGGAGAAGCAGGCTTCCTGCCCAGCAGGGAGCCTGATGCGGGGCTTGATCCCAGAGTCCTGGGATCAAGACCTGGGCTGAAGGCAGACACGCTTAACGACTGAACCACCCAGGCGCCCCAGCATACCAGTTTTAAAAATAAGAAATTGGAAGGGTTGCAGAGACTATTATAGGCAACTTCACATGGCTGGAATTTGATCCATGTTTTTAGAATACATGCATTTTGATAACATAACTAGGAACAGTGTCACACGAAGTGGAGAGCAGAAATTAAAGTAGAACTTGGAATGATTCAGTTTGAAAGAGAGAAGAGAGATAGAGTGTAGATGGACATGAGTGTATTTGAAATAGCCAATCTCAGCTGTGCCTAGGAATCTACGAGTGAGTACCTACCTCACTGGCTGCCTTCTTTCTTTCTTTTTTTTTTAATTTATTTTTATTTATTTATTTATTTATTTATTTTTTTTTTAAAGATTTTATTTATTTATTTGAGACAGAGAGACTGAGAGAGAGAGCACATGAGAGGGGGAAGGGTTGGGAGGGTCAGAGGGAGAAGCAGACTCCCTGCCAAGCAGGGAGCCCGATGCGGGACTCGATCCAGGGACTCCAGGATCATGACCTGAGCCGAAGGCAGTCGCTTAACCAACTGAGCCACCCAGGTGCCCTACCTTCTTTCTTTTCTGTTTCTTGGGCACATACTAGGCACTCTGTAAAATATTTACTAAATGAGTACCTTTACTAAATAAGGCTTAGTAAACTTGATTATATTAATTAATAACTAGCTTTTGAGTGCTTACATGTGACAAGCATAAACCCACAGTTATCTGTTTATTCACTCATGAAGCTTTTATACTTTTTAGCTTATTTTTTGAAATAATATTAGACTTATAAAACAATTGCAAAAACAATAAAAGGAGTTATTGTATATCCTTTACCCAAACTTTCCAAACGTTAGCATTTTATGTAACCACAATACAATTATAAAAATCAAGAAATTAACATTGGTGCCATATTATTTAATCTGTAAATCTTTCCCAGCTAGCCAGTAGTCTCAGTAATGTTATGTTTCTGGTCCAGGATCCAGTCTAGGATCACACTTTTTATTTAGTTGTGTATTCTTAGTCTCCTTTAGTTTGGGATAGTATTTTTTGCTTTGCCTTTCATAAATTTTGAAGAATACTGACTTTGGTTTGTAGAATGTTCCCTCGATTTAGGTTTGTGTGATGATTCCTCATGATTGATTTTAGGTTATGCATTTTTGGCAAGAATTCCACAGAATGATGTATCATCCTTAGTGCACCCTATCAGGAAGCATACGGTGATGTTTACCTTGATCAGTTAGTTAAGATGATGTCTGCCAGTTTTCTCTATTGTAAGGTTTCAGTTTTTCCCCCTTTCATACTTAATAGATACCTTGTGGAGAGGTACTTTGAGATTTTGTAAATATCTTTCTCATCATATATTAATTTTAGCAGCCATTGATGAATGTTGCTTAAAAAAATTACTACCTAGAGTTTACCAAATGATGATTTTCTATTATTCTGCTTCTATTAGTTGGAATTCTACTCTTGAGGAAGAGCTTTCCCATCTCTAGGGGCACCTGGGTGGCTCAGTGGTTGGGCTTCTGCCTTCGGCTCAGGTCATGATCCCAGGCTCCTGGGATCGAGCCCCGCATCAGGCTCCCTGCTCAGCGGGAAGCCTGCTTCTCCCTCTCCTGCGCCCCCTGCTTGTGTTCCCTCTCTTATTGTGTCTTTCTCTGTCAAATAACTAAATAAAAATCTTAAAAAAAAAAAAAAAAAAAGCTTTCCCATCTTTGTATATATGTATTTCTTTGTTTACCTA